CCGGTCTCGTCCCTTGAAACGGAGCGTCGACACCTTCCGTGTCGCTCCGGGTCCGTTGAGAGGGCGTCGGTGCGTGTGAGACCGCCGGTCTCCACCAGCGTTGACCGAACCGATTTCTTGAGAAGAAGGAGCTGCACTGGTGAGGGATCATTCCAGCCCACATGTCACGTAGGCTAGAGAGATACATTTATATCCCTAGGGATCCACATACCGAACCTCGGAAGGTACGACTGGGCCCTCCAAGCCTACATAAATAGTCTCCAATCACCGTACCTGAGAAGGTACTTGGATCCCTAGGGTATATATATATATACTGATCACTTAAATGTAAATATTTACAATTCCCGAAAACTAACATTTCCTCTACAAACCAGTGGTTTTGAGTCTGATGGTCCTTAATTATTGGTTTTCCCTGCGGGGTACAGACGTATAAATGCGGCATCACTTGATCTTGGAGTGGTGGATAGAGTTCTGTAAATCTCACATTGCATCGTCACAAGTTTCCCCAAGCCATCCACTGCTTCGGCGACTTGACTAACCCCGACCCAACTTCGCACAGTCGCAAAGGCATCACACGACAATCAGTGATCAAATGACATCCTGACTATTGATTGATTCCTGGGATGTTCTCATGTGTTCAGATATTTAAGCAACTTATATTATATATATAGATTAAGCAATGTGAAAGCCCATTTATTAAGCATTTACAATGAGAACCTGGTTGACACATGTGCACTTCCCGCGTTCTATCGGATGCGGCCAAGGCGCACGTATTGCAAGTCGCCTGGTCGCAGAAACGCGACGCGCTCGCGCTCGAGACGTCTGGTCCGGTGGGCCAAAGAAACAGCGACGTGATGGGGTCATGGCACCGGCTGACCTTGGTTGACCACAAAACATCAACGCGGAGAGGTCAACCTAGCGGGGTGAGTTCAGGGCTCCGGGTGCCATCCATGATTTATGGCCGAGAAGCACGACCCTACGAGCCTCCTGGCTCTTCAGCCCGAAGGACTACAAGCCGCCTTGGTACTTCTGTGCATTTCAGAGTAACTGTTTTTTAGCTTGATACTTACACGTGTGGAACTGAGGTGGAACCGCGAATGGCTATGCCGCATATCTTCTTTGAATCAAGTCTCAATTCTGTGACACACGACTTGTCAACTGGGCTTTATATTTTTTTTTTTTAATAAACTGCTCAATGGAACATCGAAACTCACCAATTCTGGCCATGTTGCAAAACCGGATGTCTAATTCATTCGACTTTCGCTTTCGTGAACCCTCCGTGGTCTCCCCACCCGAGAAGCGCACGGTGACCGGTCGGTGACCGTTGTTTGAAACGTGGACCGCTCGGTGACCTGCTCGGGAGGTCGATTCGTCCGAACAGCTAAGTTCAACAGAACCCTCGTTTTTTTGGTTGTGTTCATTGAGATCCCCTTTGTTGTTGGTGTGTTCACTTCGTTTTTGTTGTTGAGATCCCCTAATGAATGAAGTGACTCAATGAACACACCACCTAAAGTACTTCAGGCGTCTACCTGTCGACAGGCCCCCCTGTAACGAGTACTCGATGATACCCGTGTGGCTTAGCTTTCCCGAGCGCCGTCGTTTTCGCTTTCTCTGTGCCTGGCACCACCGCCGACTCCGCCACGTGTCCGGGGTGCACGGCTTCCATCGTCCGCGGTGCACGTTGCAAGCAGAATTTTGGACTCGTGGGAGGGCTGTGACAGCGAAAGGCTTCGGGACGAAAGGCTGTGACAGCGCAGGGTGTTTGAGCGTGCGGGTGTTTGAGTGCAAACCACGTTGACCTGTGCCTGCAGACTTGGAAGACTCGTGTCTTCTGGTGGACCTTGGGATGCAATTACTTGGGGACATCAATGCTTTGAGATGCTTTGAGACACCAACTCAGAGAAGAGCCCCTTGCACTCTCATCAAGAGAATCCAGAAGTCTGTTTGTTGAAAGAATGAACAAGAGCTGTTGGAACTAGCCAGCCCCGAACACTCCATGGGCCTGGTATATTTACATTAACTTTACATGCATTATACCATAGTAATATTATCCTATATTCACTTATGGCTGCTTCTGTTTTGCCCCCTATTTTAGCCATCTGATGCCATATTTGATGCCAGGAGATGGGTCAACCAAGTACCTAAATAAACCGCCGCCCAGACTGAGTCTACAGAGGTCCTCCGGTCCCAGGCGTGCCAGGTATGACAGGTATGAGGCGTGCCAGCGCTTAGGCACGACACATTCTCATCCCGGATGGGTTTCAAGTACTGTTGCAGGGTCAAAGTATCCCTGTTGGTGCTAATATCTGCTCTTCACAAGCACGGATTGCCGCGTGACCCTCGAAGCTGCAAGGGAACACAATGGACCTCAAAGACCTCTACTGCCCCAAAGCCATGACAAGCAAACAAACACATTACTAAATGTTGACTCAACACGCGTGACTACACCCTAAACTTGTAGACCCATACCGAGACGCATTGACCCCTGAAACCACATTCACCCTGAAACCACCCCAATGTATATGGAGTGTCTGGGATATGGACCTTCTGGACTTCACCCGTCCGGAACTTCTAGGATTTGCTGATTCCGGATTCACCTGTTCCAGCCCATCGAACGCACATCCCTCTCTCCAACGGTCCTCATGGGTACGTGGATGGCATAGAGCGCTCCGAAGGGCCGGTCGATGGCATCCGTCCCATGCGACGGAGGGAGGGATGTGCCCAATCCGCCGCCACCGAAAGCCAAACCCGAAAAGATGAGGGGCTCTACTGATTGTACTTCGCCTTCCTAGTGCTTTCCGCAGGCATTCGCCCATCTTGATGGATCCCGGTGTGTGGAGACTCCCTGGCCCTGGGTAGACTGGTCTGTTGTCCTTCTTCCAGGATATCTTTTTTTTGGAGGTCTCTATAATTCACACACACCGACATGGCTCTCATCCGAATTGCCTATATAAATGGGGCGGGAAATGGAGCCAGCCATCTCCCATCGGTGGGTGCCAAAGTGAGCGCTCCTTCTGAACATGTCTTATACGGGTTCTTCTGCATGTTGCACCCCCGACCTGTTCGTACGGAAGATGGGGCCCCAATGTACCTTGTTGGGTCGGCTCTCACTTTATTAGAGGTACTTTAGGGGGTCCAAACTGAGAATGCCCTGTTGAGATCGAGAAGCCGAAGCGGCGCGGAGTCTCGCACGGAGCATGGCCTTTTGGTCGGTCCCGTTAGCCGTGAACTCCATCGTCTGAACGATGGTGAAGCCGTCTCGACGTCTCGCCACCGGTGAAACCGGTGGAGGACGGGCGTGTTGGACTGGTGAAGGCGTGTGTTTGACACGGGACTCGGCCAGCTGAGGCAGGGCGAATCATTCCGTCGAACACAGAAAGCTTCGTCATGATGAAATAGGATGACCCAAGCTGTGATCTATGAACATCCAACAATGATCTATGACTCTACATCTATCCCTGAGGATCGAAAGTTAGCTCTATATGCTAACATTTGGGGTTGTGTCTTCTGGGGCTCTCCGACCTCACCCTGTGAGGTCCGACCTCAAAAAACGAGATCATACCAGAACCCAAAAACCACAAAACCACAGAACCCAAAAACCACAAAACCAACGATCCCAAATTCAAATTCGTCACGGGTTGTCACGCTGGAGTCCGACAATGACCTCATTTTTAAAGGGACAAAATAGACCAATCACGGTCTGTCACGGTCTGTCACGCCCTGGTATGCTTGGTTCTTGGGATTTCATGGTCTTATCCTCCAACAATGATACTGGAATTGTATATACATTTCAGGTACCCCAATCTGTGATTCGACAACGTCTTCAAATAACACGATCAATAGAAACGTATGCATATCCTGGGATCATTTCTATTTGTGACCTATGTGTGGTCATGGATCGTCAGGGTATGACAATACGTCATTCTATTGTACACAGAACATTCTCATGAAGCAGGTCAGTCTGATAAGTTGTCTGCATGTTCACTGTGCTGATGGGGTAAAGGTGGGCACCTAACCACCCTCCAAGCTAGCGGAAGTTAATTATTGATGTTGGCATCAGGGTGTCTTCAATCGTTCCGTGTCGTCCCTGCACAGCTGACATCGTCCTTTGAAACCTCCACAAAGGTTCCAGGGATCTGTCGCAAAAGACGTGAACTCCGTGTTCGACGGCAAAGTGGCTTCATGTTGCCCATTGCATTGGGAGTTCCATGAAATCTCTTGAGCTTTTGCGACAAACCCACATCTTCTCATCTGAAAAAATGTGAGTCACTCCTAGTGTCTGTACGAGCGACAGCCGGTGTTACTTCGCGGGTATCTGTGTTTCAGTGCAGTTGGAACTGGTTTATCACCCCGAAACCTTCTTCAGAGCCATCTGGATACAGCAACCAACATTGAACTACCATCCCCGCAAAAAAATAGCTGAAACTTGAACATCCGCTAGGTCAGACCCCGAAGGAACAGCTAAGACTTTGGATTCGGATCCTTGCAGAGAAAGCAAGAAAGGAGGCGCTCGCTGCCGGGTTCTGCAACACACATTGATACGGGTTCTTCTGGTTTTTAGGGTTCTTCATGATCATACATGCGTGTGAGTTGTTGCTGATTTCCTTGTTTCTGCGAATAGGGGCCCAAAACCAGGACAGGAAGATCTCTAGAAGCAATGACTGCAATTGAGGAGTTCAAAATCTGTCTTGTCAAAAGCCGCTTCCAATACACGCCCTAGGAAAGCATTAACTAAACTCATGAACACGGACAAAAAAACCCGCCAACGAGCCCGAAGACCATCCACAAATCACCAAAACAAACGGATTCTGCAAAATAACATGCGCCACATGGACACTTGTTTGCCATATGGTGCCATATTCCTCGAGCAAATGTTGTTACCCACTTGTTTAACGGTTTAACATGGTTTAACTCTGTTCCGTCTTGTTACCAATCAGCTCACCAGCAGCCTGCGGAAAATTCAGCGAGGCAGTAAGCAAACGTGGGCGTCGACGAGAGTCTCAGTGATGTATGGGCAGCTCCCATCGCCCAGTCCGCAGCCGGCGTCGGACAGTGAGCCCAAGGACCAAGGTAAGGACCAGGGCGATAGCACAAAGCAAAGTCTTTTGTAGAGACCTTAGATCCACACTTGCTCATCAGGATGTCGTCACACACCAAGCTGGGAACGCATGACAAATCTATAGGGCCTGCAGTGTAAGTAAGAATATTCAATAGGCTAATTCAGGCTCGGCCAAGACGGCTCTCCACCTCTGGCCAAGTTGATCAGGCTTCAGCCCAGCCGGGCCGTGCTTTTATTCATGACTCGAAACCGCCCGCTGTCGCAACTGTCCACCGTGCCATCCAACCCGCCGTCGCAGTCCAAGGAGCAATCCCAAGAAGCAAGCTAACCAAAAAGCGAGGCCCAAGGAAAATACGGATGCGATGATCAGCCTCAGCTGGTCACAGGCCTCTTCCCCTTCGCATGCTTTCCCTTCGTAGGTGGGTTGCATCGATCTACATACGTTTATATTTTCTTGGTTTTACTGGTTCTCAGTTCTTTGAGAAATTAATTGAGCTTTAGGAGCTTGATACAACTCAAATGAAGTGATTTTGACTTTGCCCAGTGTCGAACTTGCGTACATCGCAAGCTTTGGTTTTTAGCCTTTCACATCACTCTGATTGTTGTACAGCTTTGTAGGTAATTAGGTATATGATATATGCAAACTGGTGGATGCAATGCATTCGAAGAGGATTTGGATCTCGTGAACATCGCCCAAGGACAGGAGTTGTGTTGATCCACGGGGTCTGCTTCCCATGGATTTGTGAGCCTCTCAACATCTGCCAGGGTCATGAAGAAGTTGCTTTGCTGGCTCACAGCACCTAGGTTTAAAAACAAAAAAAAAGTAGTTCCATCTTGGGGTGCTTTGGTTCATCTCATCCAGTGGATGTGACGGATGTGACCCTAGAAGTTTGGTACCCCGACATGGAAAAACTGAAAGGTAAGCAATGGTGTCTGGTTGTTTGATTGGAACTTTACTCAACTGCACAAATTGCCCTTGCTAATGCCGCGTTGTGTACTGTTTGTGCTTGACACAGGGCATGGTAAAACAATGTCAACATTCTTTGTTCCCCGGAAACGCATGGGAATTTGGTGATAATTGACAGTACACTTAGTTTTCTTGTTTTTTCAGGCCTTTTCCACCAAAATCTTCATCGATGGGATCGTAAACTACTCAACACTCTTCAAAACTAGAAAATTAAATTTGAGTAGAGCCCCCCCCTCGATTAACTCCACCTAGCGGAGGGTACATCATGGTACATCCTAAAATATACCAACTGCGTCAGCTGTTCTACGTACTTCGACCCCCTCGGGCCCTCGTTCTGCCCAGCGACGTGGCCATGCGGTTCCGCTGCGCCAGCGCGATCATCCGGTCCAGCGACCGTCGGGCCTGGGTGAGCTCGCTGTCGATGGTGCGGACGTTGTCGCCTCAAACACTGCTCCATTTGGGATCCAAGTACCTTCTCAGGTGATTGGAGACACTGCTGTGTAGGTTTAGAATGCACAAACGGATTCCAAACGGGCGATGTCACGGATGCGATGTCGAACTCCATCGAACTCCCAAGATGTGGAGACATCGACTGCCGTGGCCGAGAAAAGGTGAGCGAGGGGTGATTTGAGGAAGGAACCAAACGTTTTGTGCTAATCATATATTATTATAAACTATTAGAACCAAAAGGTCAGGAAGGAAACAACTTATATACTATTATGTTTGATATGTCAAAAAGAGACAAAGGTTTGCACCATGCGCCGTCACTCCGTGCAACTTATAAATGATATAATAAGTGAAAAATAGTGAACACAGTTTTGAAGGATACTCTGCATCCAGGAATAACATAAGCCCCTGTTAGCTTGGTCCACCTCGCGGCTTGCCTTCCAAAAAAAATCCTAGCCCAGTTTGGAAAGTTTTGGACACAGCCCAGCCCCGCCCAATTGGTTTGGTCCACCTTTCTTGGGGCATACTTTTGACACCTAGTTACGTCCCTTCTTTCAATGCCTTTAGTTTCAAAACACCCTCATTTTATGGTCCTATATTGCCAATCTAAAACCCCTGTTCCAATTCAGATCCTAGTGCGACACCAACTGCCCAGGTGTGATCTGATGATGTCTTATCTTCAGTCCAGCATTCGGGAATCCTGCGTCTCTTCCAACGACTCTTCTTCCATATCTTCAGCCTCATCATTCTCACCGAAATCTCCTTCTCCACCACCTCTAATGCATTTCAATGCTTCCTGGTCCCATCTCTCATAAGATTCTCATTGCTCTTGACCTGGCTACAGATCACCCCATATCACCCAGAATGCCACAACCACTCCCAGAAAATGATTTCCCAAACAATGCTTTATACAGGTCTTTTTAACAACGTACCAAGCAAGTTATTATTCAAGTTCCCAAAGGGGGTCCCACTCCCTATATATTTGCTCCCCGGGTGTGGACATTTTCCACCGCCCAATAGACCCCGCACACCCCTCTATTGTCCTTTCCAATAAGTTCGTCCTAATCTTTCTCCTCCACCTTCCTAGATTCTCCTGAGCCTTCCTCATTGAGACTTCCACCACATAGGTCCTTGCCTTCATGTTCTCGTGCTTCTTTCCAATCCTCTTAGCTTCAGCCAGCTCATCCCAATCGAAACAGCCTGGTGCAGCTGCTTTCCTCATCCAGCTCATTTCCACCCAAATCCAACAGGCCCTGACGCCTCTCAGCTTCATCACAGGCATCCTTTTGCATGCACTTCCCCCCTCCTCATCATTCCTCACTTGCTTCTCATGCTCATGCAATTCCTTACTGATGTGCTTCAATACTCTCCTTGACCGCCACAAAGTCTTCCCAACCAAAGATCCCATCATGAAGAACCACACATGACTCGTGGCACACCATGCTTTCTAGGGGTTCCTATAGGCTTTTGGCCTATAAGACTTTGTAAGACTGCCACACCAGCTATGAACCATGAATCTCCAAAGATCTCATGCGCAGCACTCTCACTCTGTCAAACCCTTTCCAAGTTTGAAGAAAGATTTGATCTTTGCGGATCCCTGCTCATGAATTTGCTTAATCTTTGGGATCCCTCCTCATGTAGAGATTTATATATAGTCTTCGAATGTCTTCGGGATCCCTCCTCATGAAGGGGTCTAGTCTTGGGGATCCCTCATCATGAAGAGATAATTTTTTGGGGCCTCTCCTCATGAAGAGATTTATTCTTGGGGATCCTTCCTCATGAAGAGATTTGGTCTTTGGGGCCTCTCCTCATGAAGAGATTTAGTCAGTCTTTGTGACCCCTGGGGGGTGTTATTAATCCGGTATCAACGGTATTGACATTAACTTCTAACTTTGTAGAGTTCAAGAGAAAACATATCACCTCAGTGAATCACACATTGGTATGCTCTGTTGCTTCAGGATTGGAATCAACCCTAAGAATCTGGGCCCAAGAGACCGAACTTCTGACTCCATGTTTCTGTCCTGGAACCCAGGCCTGTTTGTGACCGAATCAACCAAATCAAGTTCGCTCACGTACTGAAGAACCAGGATGGAACGGATTTGGTTCAGGTCCAGACCAATGCGAACGTATCGGGTCCAATGATTCTTAGGGCAGGTGAAATTGGAATAAGTTGACCATCCGGAATGAGTTGGCCGTTTCGTTCGACGCAAAACTTCTTCTTGGGCTATGTAAAACTGAGTCACCGGCTTAGCCAACAGTATCTATAGTTCTGTAGGGTCTAAAATTATGAATCAAAGCAACCATCGTCTCGCTTGTCTTGTTCGCACTTGAAACCCAAAAGCATAGAGGGCTCTATCTTGGGCAAGAGCTGCTTTGGAAAATCGTTGGACCAAACTCCTTCACCAATATCACCTCCATAATTCCCCATAACCTCACAGAAAATTGGAGGACACACAAAACGGTAATTATATGTTATGTTGTATACATTGTTGTACAACCATGCACCACACCAATGTTCTATAACACCATGCACCACATATTCCCAAACATCCTCACACAAATGCATCACGAACGCATACGCACGGCCCATCAGGACTCCAAACGGCTCACTCGGCCCAGGCGCGCACGTGAAGGATGGTCTCCCTCTGTGCCTCGAGGTCCGCGAGAACGCCTTGGCCCACCTGGTCATCGGACCGCACGGTCCGCGCGTTCGCGCCTTACGGCATTGGACCACGAGAGCGAGAGCGAGAGCCGTTCCCGATGGATCCACCATTGTTTACATCAAAGCGTGTCCAATCACCTTTTCAGAGGGTATGTGGATCCATACGAATTGCAAGAAGCATCAAGAAGCTACTTGTAGATGAATCTAGCCCAAAATGACCCCTCTTGTGCTTGGAAAACGGCATGAACAGGCCATACAGGTAGGTGTTTGCCAGTCAAGTCTAGAGACATGTCAAGTTTGGGTCTCTAAGAAGTTGAGTTGCCCTGAAAGAATCGCTCTGTCCTCCACGTGGACTCCACGTGGAATTGGCCTTAAACAATGAGTGGATCCACGTGCGACGAAGGCTTACGACCCATCCTCTGTCGCATCACTATGACCACCTCAACGATCAGGCAGGTATACCAACCTTTAAACTAGGATGACAAGTAAAGGTTTCAAGTCTTCCTTACTATAGTCTGTTTGTGTCTGTGTCTGTGTGTTTGTGTAATGATAATATACGTGTCTTGATATTCCTCCAAAAATAAGGAACGATATCAAGACACCTATATATGTTATACAAGGCAACATTCGGAAGTGTCCATACATCCAGGACACGTTTTGTTCATTTCGTTGGCCCATTGAGTCAATCATGAGCAATAGATATAGATAGCAAGAACAAATCCACCAACATAGCCCAGAAACAGGACAAACCCTTTCGGTGCATGGCCGTTCCATCCCTGGTCGGATGGCTTCCCGTTCGTCATCACACGTCCGGCACAGAGATGGCTCCCGATCAGTCGGGCCATGGGGCGGCGATGGATCCACGGCCACCGAACCAGGTCGGTACGGTGAGCAGGGAACACGATGTAGGCGCCCAACAACGGTCGGGTCCGTCTTGGCTTCTGAGAAGGGTGGCAGAGTGGATCCGGTACATGGAGTGTCTGGGAATTATAGATGCCCGCCCCAGGTCTGGAGGCCTCACATCAACCACCCCTAATGACCCAATGTCATGTAGGTCCCATGGAGTGTCTAAGGATAGAACTTCCGAAGAAAAGCCTGTCTCGCTGTCTGCTATTCCGGAAGGTTGCCGGAAGATCAAAGGATCTTGCCGAAGCAGCCAAGCACGCTTATACAAATGGTGTACGCTAGCCTGATCCGCTCTGCACAAGCTCTTGAAAAGCAAATTCCCCGCCTTGCAGGATCTTTTTGGCATTTTTTGGCTGTGCTGTAGGGGGGCAAATGCAAGTTTTTGCCCTCTTTTGGTCAAGTTGGGATGTAGCGTCTGCCCGGTGAGAGAGCCAAAAGAACTCGTCAACGACATAGGTCGTTGGTCTCCTTTCTCGAACCCGTGGGTGTGTATCACAATAGGGAGACCTCCCAGGCAACGACTGCCATTGAAGCCGGAAAATAGACCCTACCAGGCTAGGGGGGATCCACACACCTGAGCTTCTGGGCAGCTCGCTTCCTCCACGAAGCCCATCACAGTGCTCCTCCGCTGGAGACCCCTCTCACCCTGCTGGAGGAAGGCGGTAGCTCATCCGGTTCCGCAGCTCTTCAAATCAGGAAGAGTAACACATCGCCCTGGTTGCATTAGAGCGTCAACTCGTTGCATTCGGTAGAGGACACGTGCAAATGGTGAACGGAAAAACAAAGACAACTCAGAGAAACTCAGAGACTCAGAGCTCTCAAGTCAGCCATGCAAACATGCAATGCCAGGGATTTGTCTTGGGGACCTGCGAGTCGAGCGGACCCGAAACCGTACCTCGGAGATCCTCGGAAGCCCCGGGTCCGGAAGTCGTCCCGGCACCCTGTGACCAGGTTAGTTGTAGCCCATCAGTCCGAAAAATGAACAGGGAGAACTCCGGGTAGTTGTGTCAGTTGTGTTAGCAACGTTCTATTCATCCGCCAGCGGATCACGCTGAGGAGGCACCTGGTAACAAGCTCCACGTCTGAGCGTGAAGAACCGAGAAGAGGTGGCATACACTGGAATCACTGGAAACGAAAACAACGGCGAGCTTTGACTTCAAGCTCACGCAGTTTCCCAGGATTTCCCAGGTGTGAAATATACCAAAAGCCAGGAACCAGTGGAAAGGGACTGTGAAAAGAATCACACACAGAAAACAAACAGCAAAGACGCAGGGACTCCTTTCAGCCACCATCTCTTCTTCCACATCCCCCTGACCTTCGTGATCCCCAGATCCGTGCTATTCCATGCTGCTTTCCGTGCTCCTTTCATGGGACCACGCGCGCCAGCACGCATCGCACGGAACCCAGCCCCTGACTCCCAGGCCTCTTCGGTCTCTAAAGCTACTCGCTTGGCCTCCTTGAGTTTTTGACTGCTCCTGGGAGCGGGCTTTCGTGGCTTTCGCGCGACTCCACCTCCCGGGCTTTCGCGGTCCGAGTTGGGGCTTCCTCCGAAGAATGGGTTCAGAACAAAGGCAAAGTGACCTTCAACCCAGTTGGTCAGAACCTGGACCCCAGCCGTTGCGACCGCCGTCGCCCAGCTAGCTGGAGTGGCGATGGAAGTCACTGCCGCCGGGATACGGCCGGGAGGTTGGGCGGCCATTGGAAAGAGGAGGTTAGGTTTTTCAGCGTGGTCTTCCACAACAATTTGTTGCAAGACCTTGCGGTAAAATGGATATGAAAAAAACATCATGTCCGGTCCAGTTTGCACTTGCCTAGGTTATCCTAGGTTCGCTAGGTTATTGAACACGCGATGAACCGCATGTTGAAGACCTGGGAAAGTGAGATCTCTTGAGGCCGAAGCAACCACCCTTGGTAGGGTCTGTTGAGGCCGAACCTTCCTCTCCATCAAATCTAGGATTATAGACTGGGAGGCATTTCATTGAGCATAGTTGGATTCTAATTGCAATACATAGACCTTTGTAGCTCAATCAAAATCCACAAACAGTAATTGTCAATCAGTTGGAATTAAAACGTGTTTACTTTTTGTTTTTCTTGTTCAACTTGTTTCAAATGAACTCTATGTCTCTATGTTGTAACTTTTTGCATGATAATGACAGTGTTCATATGTTCATATCATATTTGGTTCCTTTTGTTTGCCTGATGTTACAAACCTGCACCAGCACCTGTTCTATGTGAGATCCCAATTTCTTGAATGAACAGAACTTGGGAGCTGGGTTGGCCTCTTTGTCTGTGGGGAGGTTGGGACATACCTGAGACTAATTGCTAATTTCCAGAAACTAATTGCTAATATAGCAAGGCCAGATCAGGCTATGTGAAACTAATTGAAACCCATTGCAAAATTATTCAAGATTTGCAGAAACTAATAACTATTTGGGACAGAAGCTCAAAGGCTCCAAAATCAGAACCACTTGCCACACCTACTGACATGTTCACAACAGTGCGGGAACCCATGTAAACCACATGCCTCAACAACGTGTTGAGACTACAGGACTTCATCCCATCACACTGTATCCCTGCCTGTTCCAACTCTATGGTTTCTTCATACTCCCAGATGTCCCATCGAGCTGACACATGCATTCTGCATTTTCCTCGCGTTGTCTGACTGACTGGTTTTGTAGCTTGGCTTTGCCAAATTATATGGCCTAGCAGCCTAGCGTACCTAGCATATTGGCAACCTTTCAAGTTGCACCAAGAGGGGACCCCAGCTTTGTCCAAACTCCTGATTGGTTTTGTGCCATGGGATCCGGAAGCCGTTGACAGAGGTGAAGTGAGGTGGCAAGGTCATAGCTGGGGCTTTAGTCCTCTTGGTAAGACCCCCTCAAAATCACCCCAGTCCCCTTTGACTGGAAAACATGAAAAGAAGAAGCCAGGAGGCTATTTCTTGTTTTTTTGGCAGCAGGTTCACTCTTGGCCTTTTCTCCTGGCCTTTTCTCACCCTTGGCAGCCTTGGATTTGCTTGCCTTGCCTCCCTCAGATTTGCTGGGCTTGCTTTCCTCAGGCTTCCTGTCTCCCTTCCTCAGGTAGGTCAGGTCCAGCAACAAACAAAGAACTAGACAAAAAAGAAAACCCTACTGTCAGTCAGTGAACCTTCTCAATTCCACCAAACCGTACCTGCATACTGCATACTGATACTTAAACAATGAAACTAAACTAAACAAGAAAGCTGAAGATGCAATTCAACAACTTAGAAACGTGGACAACTTCACCGATATCGCATCCAACTTTGTCTTCAGGAGGGGCTTAAGGTCTGGAGGGCTGATGCCGAACTTCTTGGCAATCCAACTGCAAACCTTCCGGTAGGCCTCAACAAATAAGCCTGGTTCTACATCCTTCTCGTTGATCACCAAGTCTGCGCACATCATGGTGGCCACAATCATCCCAGCTTCACTGGCAAAAGCCTTCAATGAAAGCAGGGAAACACATGTGACAATGATGGATCACGCCATGAAACGCATCTGCAATCAACACTGTAGTGTGGAACCCCGTACCAGTTATTAGAAGAACAACAAACAGAATTGGAGATCCATGGAGGTCTCAACCAATCAGCTGAAAGGTTTCACCTAGCTCTAAAAAAAGTCCTGAGAGAAACTCTCACATATCACGCACCTCAATCTTCTGCACCATGGAAGCCAAATTGTGCAGGGCTGAGTTCAGCTTCTCAAAGTGCTTGACAGCTGGCTTTCCCTGGTAGACTGTCTTGAAGGATGAAGCCTTGGACATCAACTCTTCACGCGCTTTCACCATGGCGTTTGTGTCATCATCGATCGCAGCCTCACCAGAGAACATCCAATTCACAGCCTCCATCTGCTCAGGCTGCCAAAACTCAACAGCACTGATGATTGGCCTCCCAGTGCACAAGGCTCAAGGGAGCTCTACTAATGTGAATTTGCCTGGGAAACAATGGCCAGGCTGTTTCCGTTTCACTTCAAATCTCCTCTGGCCAGAACTGACCAACAACTCTTGAACTTCCAAGCAGGGTTCACAAAAGCTACAGCCACAGCCTAAGAATAAACAAGGCTCAGACTCGACTCGAGCCTGTGACACACCACCGGTCACAAATGAGAGAGAAAACAAACACAAAAAGGACTTGGAAACTTTGAAATGAGTACAGTATGGCCTGTACTTTGTCGCCAAACGCTCAAGGTCCTTGAGTGTGCTGCCAGTGGAGTCCATTTCCACCTTCAAAATGTCACTGACGGTGTCGAGGTAGTTGGTGACAATGGAATGGTCCGAAGGGAGCAATTCTTGTAGGAGTGGCAAGTCAATGCGGGCGACAGTCATGAACGATCCCACATTCTTGACCAAAGTTGCCATGTCCTCCGGTGGAGTAGTTGCTGCCTTCCTCAATGCCACCATATTTGTCAGCAGGTCCTGGGTCAGAAAAAGCGAGGAGCCAGGTGCCAAGAGCAACTCGTTAAGGAGCGCAAGGGCTTTCGTCATGTTGTCCTTGTTCAAGAATGCCTTGACCTGAGCCAATCCAGTAGTCTGGACGATGTCTTCAAGCCTGGCAATTGCTGATCTGAGAGCAGATACCCAACCATGAGCGCCACCATCTGGAGTAGGTATTTGTTGAGTTTGCTTGCGAAGGTCATTGCAAAAGCGGGTTGCAGCTTGCAGTCCTGAGATCTCATTGGCTTGACTCATGACTTTTGCAAACTCCTGGAGCTTGCTGAGCACAATGACCAGTAAAGTGTAGAAACCAGAGTCAACCTTCAGAAAGGTTGCAAAGATCTCTCCTCGAAACTGTGTGTGTGTGTTTGGTGAAGTGATGCTTTTGTGGACTCTCAGTTTGGCAGTCTTCAACTTACACTCTGACTCAATGAATCTCGGAATTCTGAAACCTGGAATTTGGAATTAATCAGGGGGGAAGGTAAAGCTTTAAGTAGGAATGCATGAATGAATGATGAGCCAGGAGCCAATTAATTTGATCCAGTCTGATTACTGAATGGTGAAATGCACAATCAGCGATCAAACTTGGAAACTCTGGTCCTCGTAGTGTCAAAGATCCTGCCAAGCTTGCAAGCTCATCCACACTCACCACCGATAAGCCAGAAGCACCACCATTTAGACTCGTGCTTGCCCATTGCTCATCCAACCACTTGTGGAAGTCATCTAGCTTCTGTGGACTTGCCTTGTCATCACAGCGTGCGCGGATCTCGGTCATCAAGGCGTTCATGGACATGTTGGCATCGTCCTCACTGTCAAGTGTGCTGCAAACATCCAGAAAGCTCTTGCAAGAGACAAGGATGTTCTTCATTTCCTCATTGAAGACAACCTCACCATCATCTTGCAGCATATCCCGAAGGGTAGATCCTTTCGTCAGGAGCTCTTTGGAGAGGGATTTGGCCTGTTCAGCAGAAAGGGCGGCTTTGGAGAGACTGATAGCATTGCTCCACATCTTCCTGGGGCCAACGATCAAAATCATGTGACCAGGACAAGGCAGGTTGCATCAAATCAATGTCACATTCACATCGAATTGGACGTTCAAATCAGCCTAGTTTCAGATACAGATGCAGGTTACAGGGCTAAAAAAGAATCCAAAAACCTGGGCAATTGAAGTGAGTGTCTTGAGGGCCATGTTGCTCCGGAAGACCAAGTTCAGTCTGGGCGAATACTTGTCTGAATCTGCCACTCGAAGCTTCATGTCATTCTTCTCAGACGGGGAGTAGCTATCAAAGCCCCTGGTCTCGGCATCAACGACCACCAAGCAACCAAAGAGCTTCTGGAGGTCGATGAGCACCCGGATGCAAAGACCAGTATTATTGTTCTGAAAAGAGTCTGCTTTGCAAGCCAAAAAGCCTTGATCATCCATTGGCTTTGGAATCCTGACTGGGGATTGCAACATAATACAATCAACCTGTAGCCACTACCAAAACAGGTCAAATAATAGTGAACGGGGCCAGTATGATTATGTCAATCCCACATGTTGACTCTAGTGACGTTAGGCGATGTCAAAGATTTGTGATGTGGTTCTTGGTTTCAAACATAAGTTGAGTGAAGCAAAGTCATCAAAATCGAATGCAAAGCATCATGAATCATGAACATCACTGGAAGCCACAGTCCTCAAAACGTCCAGAAGGCAAAGAGCATTTGGCAAGCTTGAAAGTACTGCTTTGGTGACATCCACTGGCAAAAGCCGCAACTTGTCAACCCAAGCATTGAACAGGTTGAGCTGCAAATGGACCAACGTTTCCTCATGCTTGAAGGTGTCTCTCCCAAGAAGCATACCGAAGCTGAACGTGGCTGAATTGGTTTCAGCTGCCTTTTGCAGTGAGATGAAGGAGAAGAAAGCTTTGCGCTGCACCACATCTACAGCCATGTCACTCGATGTAGACGCCTACACAAACAGGAGCAAAAAGTCCAACAACGCTCAGTAGCCCCTGGAAAGATGGTCAATGATTGATGGGATACCGGG